CTATCTATCTATCTATCTATCTATCTATCTATCTATCTATCTATCTAAAATTCAAACTGTGCTTTCTTGAAAACTCAAATATACCGGTATATATATGCAAGTGAAAATGCTCCAGCATTCTATAAAATTGAAGAAGGCAATGCTCCTTAGCTCATTAAGACCTTTATGTCTCATAACCTAATAAATTGGTTCCTGGTGATCTCACACACACAGGACAAATATTTACAGGGACAAAGTGTTTGCATGTGAAACTATATCATTGATACAGTTATCCTGAATAAATGAAGTTCCAGAAGTGAAAACTTTTGCGCATAACAGCTACATAGGTAAAAGTTCCTTCCTTGCAGATGTTTATTCTGTGTCCCATGTGCCCTTAAATATCAGGATAGTTTAACGGTATCTGCTTCTCTTGCACATTTTGTTAAAATATAGGAGCAGGTTCAGGCTGATGTAATCAGCCTGCACAGGGCATCTTAATAAAGATATATTGATACTCTATTCTTTGTTGGACTGGACACTGGCTAGCTCATTGAACCACAAAACACAGCCTCTCCTGAATTATTTCCTGATCTTGCAAAAACTAAAAAGAAGAGTCAGTGTTTCCAAACACTGCCACCAGATGTTGGCACCACACTAGGCATGGCTAGTCTAGTGAAGAGAAGGACCGGGGGAGACATGATAACAGTGTTCCAATAATATAGGGGCTGCCACGGAGAGGAGTGGGGGGAGTGGTCAAGCAAAGCACCTGAAGGCCAGACAAGGAATAATGGATGGAAAATGAACAAGGAGAGATTCAACCTGGAAATAAGGAGGAATTTTCTGACAGTGAGAACAATCAACCAATGGAACAGAAATTGCCCTTGGAAGTTGTGGGAGCTTCATCATTGAGTCTTTCAAGAAGAGACTGGACTGCCATCTGTCAGAAAGGGTGTAGGGTCTCCTGCTTGGGCAGGGGATTGGAGTAGAGGACCTACAAGGTCCCTTCCAACTCTGTTATTCTAAGCTAAGATACTCTCAATAATGAGGCCTTTCTTCTATAGTTTTTAAGGACTGTGCCTTCTCACTTTATCTCTGGTTACATATTACATCAGACTCCTGACTAAAGTTCCAAGCTTTCTTTGTTTCAGCCAGTACTCTTACCTTCTTGCTTTCCTGAAATCACTTCAGCGTGAGAATCTGAAAACAGAAAATCAAAATGCACTGGGATATCAGTAAGAAGATCTTCCAGTATCGCCTTTTGCTGGCTGCAAGATGTGAAATGGATTAAATGTAAGTTAGGATCTATTTCTGTGGGCAAGTTTTTTTTATTAAACATTAATAAGAAATAAAGATATTCAGGTTACCTCTCTGGCAGGATTCGCATCCCTGCAGTACAGAGAATATACAAAGGGGTTTCTTTGTGCTTTGCACGGGGTATATGTTCAGCAGCAAAGTTCAGAAGTGGAAAAATATAGTCACTAACTTTCTCAGGAGAGGTAGCAAATTCTGAAATGCCTGGAGAACAAGAGAGATAAATACACTTAACCATACATCGACATGAGAAAGTAGAACACACTTTTTTAAAAGGAGAGTATTGTTCCCAAGTTGGGGATTCAATCAAAGGCAAAATACTGCAACTTTTAAAAAGTTGTGACTTTCTAAAATACAATACGGGAGTACAAATGCATAATATTGTCTTAAAACAGCGGTGTCAAACTCGATTTCATTAAGGGCCCCATCAGGGTTGTGTTTGACCTTGGAGGGGCGGTGGGCATGGCCGTGGTGGGCGTGGCCAGGGGTGGGTGTGACATGGGACTCGTTTCAGGGGTACCTGGGGCGGCCAAGTGCTAAGGCAGGACTTCCTTGAGACCCTCCCTCACTTTCATTATAACCTTCCTTCCTTCCTTCTTTTTTTCCTTCCCTTTTCTTTTCCCTCTTTCCTTATTTTTCCTCTCTTGCTCTCTTCCCATCAATCCTTTTTCGTCTTTCCTCTTTTCTTTTCTCCTTTCCTGTCCCTTCTTCCATGCTCAAATGGAAAAGGGGAAACATTTCTCCTTTTGCAGCCCTGAGCCCCGTTTTAGCTGGCAGAGGGCTGCAGGAGGCCCTGGAGGGTTAAAACGGGGCGTGGGGTGCATGCAGCCCCTGAGCTCCATTTTCTCTGGCAGGGGCAACGTGAGCCGGTCCTTTGCTGTTTCTGGACTGGTCCTGCGGGCCATATCTAAGCACCTCGTGGGCCAAATCCGGCCTCCAGTCCTTCAGTTTGACACCCCTGTATTAAAATTACATTCTGTGTAGCAATCTCAACTTTAAATACTTTAAATAAGATACTGTGAAAAATTGTCCTGAAACATGGGCTTTAATGGTAGCACACAAATATTAGCAAAATAAAATAAAATAAAAACCTATTTGCATCTCTGGTGTCAACTCATAAAACATCCCTATGCCTGTTTTAGTAGTTGCCATAAAAAAGTGTGTGTGTGGGGAAAATCTGGAAGAGCAGTGCAGCAGTTTGGAGGCAAGAGTACATTCCAACTCTTACCTTTAAAAGATTGTAACTAAAATACCAGAGCTTTTGCCCGTAAATATACTTAATTGGAGAACGTGAATGATGACACCCAGCCTGTGAAGGTGCTCAATTGGAGAATCTGGTTTATGACACACCCAGGGGTGTGTGGGGGAAACAGGGTCACAGGGGACTGTTAATTATGTATGGCAGAGTTGGATGCATACAGGGCAGTGCCAGTATGTCATCTCTAATTAATCCTTTGTAGTTTTTTGAAGTTTGGCTCAAGAATCATGATTTAATTAGACCGATTGCTGGAATCCTGACATCTTGGCTTTTTTTAAGCATTAAGAATCTTAAGAAATAAATGACAACTAGGGGGAACATATGTGGGAAGACCTGGGTCTTGCAGATCCCCAATAAAAAGGTGGAAAAATCCACTGCATTTTAAGAAACAAAGATTGCCAACCTTTGCCATGACAGAGTTCCTTCATAGGCAAACAAATAGCTGGGGAATAGGTATGACTTCCCCTGGTACCTGGCTTAATTTTCATAACCACTGGTTTTCTGTTTTTGTCCCGCATTTGCTTGATGTCAAGTAAATCATGGGGATTGCCATTGTGCCTTGGCCACCAATACACGAAGATCCGAGACCCACTGCTTCCACAATCCACCATGATGCCGTAATTCAGCTTTGGGTTGCTTGTGTCTGTGGCTTCGGTGTCTGTAACTCGGGCAAGATACCTGGGAGAGAGAGAGAGAATAGAAGAACTGCTCAGAAGGAAGTCTCACTGAACCCAGGAAGGCTGCAGCGGAAACAAGGGCAGGACAAAGCTTTAAGGTCAACCAACCACACTGAACTTGATAGCAGCGGAAACACACAAGTAACAGCAATTATACGATTAAGTTTCACTTGCTTGATTTGGAGGTTCAGCTCTTCAGCTGTGTCTTTCACTGAGTGACACTGGACTAGCCATCAACACTCAATCCAGCCTACTACCTCAGAGGACTGTTATTAGAGATTAAATGAGGGGAGGCCCAGATTTATACCAATTTAAGTTTGCACAGAAATGGAGGGGCTATTAACGCAATGAATAAGTTTAATGTAAGGTGATCTGTCTCATTTTGTTAGGTATACAGATTTGGATTTGTTTTTAATCCACCTGACAAAGATTACCTGTGCAGCTTTTTGTCCCGGGAACTGTATTTTAAAACAGAGTAATATAATATGAAAAATGCAGCAGTAAGGAGTCCAATGACAATAATTTGCCGTAATGTTGTGTTCAATATCCGTGGACACCCAACAGGGGAAATACTGAAGTGCCATGAAGCAGGAAAAAGGCAAGAGAAGCTGATCCTGGAATGAAGAAAAACAAGATACCTGCACTTAAAATTCTGTGCTGGCACCCTACAGATACAATAGCTGGAAGCCAAATTTTGAAATCTATCACTGTTCATTTTAAAAAATGAATACTTTTCAGAAAAGTATTTTTTCTGGCAACTAAAAAAGGTTTTATTTTTTTCCTGGCAGCTAGTCTGTCCAAAGTTTATAAGCCTCTTGTAATAAGAACACATATATTCTTATCTGACAGGATTTATAGCCCTGCCCTTCCATAACAAAATAATGTATAAGGTGATATATTCAGAAAATATGTGAAAATCCAAGGTTCAAATATTTATTTATGGTTGAATAAATGAACAAGTGTAAACTAAAATAAAAAAATAATGCTCTTATCATTATAAACAAGACCATATGCAGTTATAAAGTTATAAGCAAGACTAACAATTACAAACAAGCAAGAACTTTGGGAAGAGAAGAATGATTACAGAATGAAATAGCCAGATTGAGAATTGTTGGAAGTGGCAAACAGATTAACATGGGACATTCAGAAACCCTTTTAATGTAGTTTTAAATAGTTCAGCTCTTCCAGTGCGAACTTCTGAAATACTGTGGTTGGAACTGCATGTTTTCTAAATTATGAGCCATAATTTATTTGCACTGTCATGTTTTATTGTAATAATTTTTTTTTACAAAATTAGCAAAACTACCCGACATGTTAAGTAATAACTCATGGCTTATATCTACTTTATAACCAAGTCCACACATTTGGTTAAAGCCAAACAAGCCACATTAAGATCTATTTTTCCCCACTTACCACAAAAAAATAAATAAATTATGGTTTACAAACAGTGACTTAGACTGAAGTTTTAAACTTCAGATCTGCAACAGGGAGGCAACTGGACTGATTGACAGGGCTATTTAAGAATTACTGAACGAATTCAGAATGGAATATTTGACAAATCCAATATTTTGTGTGCCTAAACAAATGTTACTGTTCCAAGCCAATCAGGGATAGTCCAGAACTCAAAGAAAAGTCATCAGCATTTCAAGACAGATGACCAAAATTGGTGTCTCTAGATGTATCTGTTAGTATGTTATATATTAAGACCCCCCCCCCAAAAAAAGAAGTATCTTCTGAATTGGGACCCAATGAGAAGCCAAAAAGGAAGGGGGCAATAGCTGCATAGATGAAGGTACTGTTGCTATGTGTTCCTGTTATGCTCATGCTGGACAGCTCCCTGACTGCCCTGACCTGTTCATTCTTGGCCACTCTTGATAAAATAGGCTTTGTTGTACATAAACGGACTGGCAGGAAAGTTATTTCCTGCAACAAGTGCCTAGTACAAATAATTCCAGTTAATCATTCGTTCTTTCTTAAAGCTATTTTTGTATTGCTCATTTGTCAGCCCCAAAAACTAGGAGACAACTAACAAATGTTGGTATCTTAAATTGTATAAGTTTTGGGGAAAAAAAATAAAGAAACATTACATTTCTGGTTACTGAAACTTAAAAATCAAACATATTTCGACAGTTATTTAATCCCACCAAATTTTGTTGTGCTTACTCACCCAAGATTTGGATACTCACCTACCCATTTCTGATCAGGGTAACTAGGCCACAGAAAAAGCTACCTTTTTATGGTCAGCCCAGATTCATAAGGCACAAGATTTATCCCCAGAACCAATGGAACAAGTGGGAACTGAAAAATATTAATTAAAAGATAGCATTTTCACTCAAGCTAAAACAGATGAAATGCCATGAAGCCAAATTAATGTATGTTAGCCAGGAAGTTCAAAGTGGTATGCATAAATTTATGCTTCTTTTATTCCCTCTTCCCCCCAAAAGTAAGTCTGAGAGATAATATCTAACTCAAGGCATCTCACACCTATTTTCCAATTACTCTATACACTTTTAGCATACAGCAGTCATTGTGTTTTTTTTCATTCTATCTGAAAAAGGAAATGATGATCAGCATTTGGCTGAATACTACTCTGTACAGATATGAAGCTTAAGTTTTGTAATAAAATTGTGTCTTCCCAACATAAATGCACAGAATTTTAGAAACAAACAAAAACTTTCCTAGTATTAATATTTACGAGCTCTAAAATGTATTGTTTCTTGCCATATTTGGAAAATATATATCTTTTTTGTTGTTTTCAAACTGGCAAATATTTTTGAAGTAATGAATAGAAAGACGCCCTTTACAAAAGATTTCATGAACTATAATTCCCACTTAAAAAACAGATTTATAATTCCTGTAGTGAAACGTCAATTGGTTTTAGGATGTGCTTTCAAACGTGCAATAGAACATTAAAAAAGTTATGCCTGTTTACCTTTAAAACACAGTAAACTTTGGGAAGAAGACACCAAATGTTTAATGCAAGCTGCATTCCTTATTAGTTTCATGGAAGAAACACTGGAAGAAGCCATTTCATTTGGAAACTAAATAGGGAATATAGAACATAATGTGATAAAAATTAAGACATTTTCTCAGTAGAAACTGTAAATATCCCTGAACAGCTGCTGTGACATTAAAAATGTTGAATCCATTTAGTTACTTAAAATGTTTACATATTACTTTTTACGCCACGTATCTTCAGGCCCTGTACAATACAGACATATCCTTAAAAAACTCTCTTGTTTAAGGTTCAATATACCACATAAAAGGACATTGTGATTAAAATATATAAAAAGCTAGAAAACATAAGCCAGCTGCCATGAACAGTGGAACAATATTATGAGATGTCAAATGGCAGATTAACAGTATTCTCAGCAGTATCTGAACTATGACTGTAACTTTGTCGCTTGTATCCTTACGATTTATATTGACTGTTTCCTAGTATGATTTGATTGCTTATTGTACCCTGTGACTATCATTAAGTGTTCTATCTGATGATTCTTGACTCTTGATGAATGTATCTTTTCTTTTATGTACACTGACAGCATTTGCATCAAGACAAATTCCTTGTGTGTCCAATCACACTTGGGGAATAAAGAATTCTATTCTATTCTATTCTATTCTATTCTATTCTATTCTATTCTATT